TCAAAGGAATTGAAAATTTAAACCCACTGGGTTAACCAAATCCGGTTTATTGTAAACGAACTTTAAATTCCCATAGGAAGTTTAATTGTCGTTAATTAATGTCGTTAAACATCCCATTTATTTTTCGATTTTATATTAAAATGTTGAAATAGAATAACTAGTTTATTTTGTTTTTAGTTATTTTGACAGAACAAGCCACAAAATAAAGCTGTAGTCAAATAGTTGTCAAAACGCAGCCTACGTTAGAGTAACTTCGGGTAATATGAAATGCTTGAAATATGTCAATGTCGCCTTGATAAATGTTTTCCCAATTAGTGAAAACAAACATCAAACTTAGTTTTTAATAAATAATTGCAATGTTGAAAATGTAGTAGTAGAAAATGTAGCTCTGATTGTAAAAGTGTGATTTGAGCATTTTTTAACACAATATTCGAACGTTTTTGCAACATAGTCGAACACTTTGTTTTTCGAATATAAAGTAGTTATGTGGTTTTCTTGTTTTCTTTAACAAAAATATACGTTTATCTGTAATAACAATCGGCGATTTTTATGCATTTTTGAAGCCGATAATTATTTTTAAATAAAAATATTCAATGTCGGGTAATGTGTACCACTATAAAACGTGGGAAATTTTCATGAGGACGAGTTCGAAACATGGGCCCATTTAATATGAGAGGAGGTATTCTATCCTCTGAAAACTCGATATGTGAAATTACAGGTGATTCGGTTGTATAATGAAGCAAGGACCTTCAAATGGGGCGATAACCTTAAATGGGGGCTATTCCAAAACATGAACCCATATATTTCTGCATTCATTGTTACCCAAGAATGCAATAAATTGAAATTTATCACAATCTACCTTTAACTTACTGATCCTCATTACCCACACATAATGGTCCACATTACCCGCCAAGTTATTTTTATTTGCAGGTTAGAGTTTTTTGAAATATAATAACATTTTTATAGACAAATATATATATATATAATGTTTGACCTGGAAGAAAATGGTGGTCCACATTACCCGAAGTTACTCTACATGTTTTATCGTACAAAGTTTTAATCGAATTTGTTAGCATTTCCTAATTTTAATGGGTGAAACATTCTTCGCAGAATATACCCCATATAAGGAAGGTTCCTCCGCATTTATAAGTATATTGTGGTTCTACGCGCATTTTCCAATTATAGCAGTAGTTAGACAATCCAGGTTATTGTGGTTACAAAAAGCAAAAAGCAAATAAAATACAATTACTATAAATATTGTTTAGATCTCGTTGATTTCCTTTTTTTACATTCTAACGACATACTAGCATGGTATAATTATTAAATTCCAGCAAAAAGCATGGTTGAATTCTTCGTCGAAATACGTGGTTTCATTAAATACTTTATTTTAACTTCGCTTTTAGACGTTGTTTGTTTCTTGCAAAACTATTTTTATGCTCCGCCCAGGCGTGCATTCTTTCTGAACAATTTCAAGCTACGCCTATGGGTTTGGGTTTCAGTGTTATAACAATTTTATACGATCGCATTTATAGTAAACTGGTCAGGAGATAAGAGTATTGGTACGAAATAAGTATTTAAGTGAATTTAAAATTAATACAGTTGGATTATCCAGACTTCAAAACAAATAATAATCAGATCAATAATTTAGTTATCCTAACAAATAATTGGAGGCTGTTCGAAAATCTCTCACTCATATTGGAGGAAGACCACTCATAATTAAAAAGACAATATAAGATGATTCCACCACATCACCTAGTCAAATTCGAAGCCGCTTAGATTTAAAAATTAGCGAAATTCGCAGAAAAGTTCTACAGTCTGGTCTGGTTATTCCGTCAGCGACGAGTGAAATAAAAACAATAAAATCATGTAAAAACGACATTAAATTTTTCTAACCTCCACAACATGTTGTGCATCCAAAATTCGGAATACCGAAAAATGGGCGGAACTTTCGTGTGTGGATTATATCAAAACTTGGACCTGCATAGACAACTTTCGGCACAAATTTATTTTACCTCCCAATATTGCCTAATTATAGGCACTACAAGTGGAAATCAAGCAAAAAATCTTTAAATACTGACAATCCGGAAAAATCTTGGGCCGAAATCCGGAAACCTCTTAGATGGACATTCCAGCGAGACAACAACCCATAATATGCGCCAAAAATATTTAAGGAGTGGTTTCTTCAACAATTCGATAAAAGTTCTTCTTTGGCTTGATCAATTCCCTGATCTTAACCCCATACACAGAGTGGGAGATAATAAATTAAAAATCAACCAAGAAAATTTCCAAACCAAAGACGAATTATTTGAACGGGAAAAATAGCATGGCGAGCAATATCGCCTTAAAATATGTGCGAGTGTCCTCCAGAAGAAAAGTTATGTGACGAAGTGGTTTGTTTTTAATTCCGAATTCATTATGTTAGTTCCTCTTGTTGTTGCAGTTTATATGAGTTGTATATATAAATATATATATATATATATATGACGTTCTTCAGCTGCTATGGGTGCGGGAGTGAGCTCCGGCATTCACTCTGTATCCTTTCAGCGCTGCGGCTACTGCATCAGTATGAATGCCATTCAGACATACTTGATAGGCAACTTGATCTAGAGGCTTCCTTTTGTAACGCTGGACCTCTCTCTCTAGGTTATGCAGATTATTCCTGATACGCCTGGGTGGGGGAGTCCTATCCACCATATGATGGTCAGAGATGGCCTGTCAGAAACAGTGACATAAATGACATACAATTCCGACGTATAATACATACGTCAGTAACGTCGGAAACCTACCCAAATCCATTAGGTTTTTGACAAAATAGTTATTTTCATTAATCAATTTGGAAATTACGCATGCTTTACTCAAATCCATAAAAAGTTTCAAAATTTTCTTCTCAAAAAAATTTAGAAATTTTTATCAGTTCTAGCTGGGAATAGTCAGATATATGTAAAAATAATATATATTTTTGAAAATAACTTTATATGCTGATAATATTGAAATAAAATTACGTTTAGTACATTTATTACATTTTATACAGGTATATGACGTTTTCGACGTTTACACCTTTTTGACAGTCGAAAACCTAAAAATTCGTCACACTGACCATCCCTGATGATGGTTGGGATGATGGTCCCTGAAACTCCCGAGCACGTACTGCAACGAAAGCATATTGCTATGCTGACGTAAGGGAAGGATCTTCATCTCCTCCTGAAGATGGACCACTGGTGTCATGAGGAGGCACCCTGTCGCAGTCCTTAGGGCGGCGTTCTGACAGGTCTGAATATTTTTCCATTGCGTATCACTGGAGTTTGCACTGGAACCACATAGCTTGCCACAGACCGACCTATCGCTTTGTAAGAGGTCAACAAGGTTTCCTTATCTGCTGCCGGCAAGCGACTTGAGGACCTGGGTCCTACTATTCAACTTATCGCAGATAGCTGCGGTATGCGAAGACGGTTTAAACATGTTGTCGAATGTGACCCCGAGTATATTGGGGTAGTTGATGGTCAGAATTGTATGCCCTTCGACCCGCACATTCAACGGTATTCTCATCTCCGCAGTCCATGTGTTGAATAATGTGGTTGACGACTTCGAGGCGGATATTTTCATATTCCTCGCTTTGAAGAAGGCTACTACTTCGACGAGATAGGCGTTCAACCTCACACATATGTCCTCAACAATGGGACCCGACGCCATGATCGTACAATTATCTGCATATGTAACGATTTCTATGCCGTCCGGAGGGCGTGGAATACCGGAAAGGTAGAGGTTAAACAGTTCCGGAGAACTGTGTTGCTTACGGAATCCATGTTAATGATCCGCAACTGGTTAGCATTCTGTAATACTGGGGAGGTGTAATGCCTCAAGGATCTTCGCTACTGGTGACAAAAGTGAAATCGGGCTGTAAGATTCACCTTTGCTGGTATCCTTGCCCGGCTTCAGTAACGTGGGTGGCTATTCGGGTATTCGACAAGCAGGTATAAATCCAGCAGCTGCAGCTGTGATGATGCCTAGCAATTTCCTTTCTGCTACCCATACATCAGAAGGAATGTAGAGTTCTCTGAAGACTATTTAGTATTTTTCAATAATAAAGATATAAATAATAAGAAAAATGAAAAAATTTCATAACTTTGATTTAGTTTTGGACGATACTGTATATATATATATATATATATATAGAAGAAGTACTTATTTCTATACCTTTTTTGTTCTTAGAGATTTGCACTTCATATATTTAAAGCACGTCACATACCAAACTTTAATTATATTTTCATTAACAAAATTTTAAGTTTATCAGTGGCATCAAAACATTTTAAAATTCATATTAATTATATTTTGCATACACCTATTTTTGTCATATTGCATGCACAATAAAACAATATCTGAATTTATTTTAAGCACACATGCTTCCCCATACCTTTTTCGAGATATACTTAGGAAATTTTGTATATTACTATGACGCAATTGCAAGAAGCGCATAGTACAATTTTTGTTATAAAAAATTGGCGGAAAATCGCAAAAATAAATATGCGTATATAAAACAGCTATATTTATTTTCCAAACGGTTGTTGCTACCATTTCTCCTCGCTTGAATTAAACGAGACAATAGATTTTAATAAAATAATAAATAATACATTTGAAAGACTACATTATCTGTATATACCTAAGAACTATCCACAGGTTTCAGGTTTCTTCAAAAAGAAATACTCTCCACCAAAGTGATAGTCTGCATTAGCTGCAGACGCCATAACACAAAAAAACTTGATGAATTTGTCCTTAAGGGTACTAAATAAACTAGTCAAGGGCTGTCATTCCTTAAAGGAATATTCCACCTCCCCCGAAATCTTGTTGCACAGTGAAATCTGAAAATATTAATGCATACCCACCTTGGCATTTTATTATCTGTAACAACAATGCCAATTTATCGAATTAGTTACTTACGTTTCATCAAGTTAATTTAAACATTGTTTTAACACTAATTTTTAATTTCTCTTGTTTTATTTCAGATTTCAATACGACACAATGGCCTGCGTTTGTGAAATGATAGGGCTTGCCTGTTTAGTGGCGCTCTTTATGAGTTTTTCAAATAAAGCACCATATCAATTAAAAATGGCCATATTTCTAATTGGTAATGGTATCATCGTACTTATTTGCATACCATTCATGATATTAAGACCCAGAGACTATAGAAATGCATTGTAAGTAAAATACTATATATAAGAAGTTTTTAAAAATTTTAATCTTATGTATCCTTTTATATAACACAGCGCTCCTGCCTGGGGATGCAGACAACTGTGCAAAGCTTTGGGTGTAACCATGGAACTACGCGGTTTGGAGAATATTCGCAAAGATCACGGTAGCGTAGTCTTAATGAATCATCAGAGTGCTTTGGATTTGTGCGGTAAGTGCCTCTACAAAAATATCCACATAAATACATATTTAATTTACTGTTCTTCTTACAGTACTCGCATATCTCTGGCCTGTTATTGGCCGAGCCACAGTCGTTTCCAAAAAAGAAGTTCTATATCTACCATTCTTTGGTTTTGGCTCATGGTTGTGGGGTACTCTGTTTATAAATAGATCTCGTAAAACCGATTCCATCAATGCCTTACAAAAGGAATCGAAAGCCATCAACGAAAGAAACTGCAAACTTTTGCTATTCCCCGAGGGAACACGTAATTCTAAGGAAACATTGCTGCCTTTTAAAAAAGGATCATTCCACATTGCACTTCAAAGTCAATGTCCAATCCAGCCAGTTGTCATTTCCAAATACTGGTTCTTAAACGGCGATAAGAAAATCTTCCGACCAGGTCATGCCATTATCCATATTCTGCCCGAAATACCCACGGCCGGATCCAAGAAAGAAGACATGGATGCGGTAATAGAAAAAACGTACAACATCATGCAATCCGAATACACAAAACTCAGTCAGGAGGCAAAGGCTCTCAATACCAAGAAACATGTTTAGTTTGTATGTACGGAAACAAGCTAACAAGTGAGCTCTCTAGTTGTATCTCAGGTATTGCACGATATTCCTAAGGATGTCTGGTACATTTTGGTATTTACGAAAGTTGGCTATATGCCGGCAATTAGATTTTTTAAAATATATTTAGTTTTCATTTCGGACTTTACACCTACTGCTTGAAGATCAAAATGAGAAGACAACTAAAACCCAACATCTTGTGTGTAGAAACATTATTTTTTCTTATAAGATTATTACCTAGGTATTGTACTTTCTAAATGTATGAAATTTACATAAACAATATAGTCAAATTAACAAATTGTATAAAAAATGCGAAATGAAATTAAACAATAAAGAAAAATAATAAATAAAAACGTGTTAAAATGCAGGAAATTGTTTTAATTGCTTTGTTTGTGTATATATGGATATGGATAAAATTTCTGTAAAATTGACGTTGACATGGAACATATATTTTAGGTTCCATAGGAACACATATAAGTTCAAAGTTCCAGATCACAAGTTCTAAATTCTTAGGACAACTTTTGGCATCCTTTCTTTAATTCACAATATATTCCTCCAGTCCCTAAAAAATTTGGCCACATATTAGGATACTCAATATAGCGATGTAACCGCAAATTTGAGTTCAGTTCAAATTCTTTAAAGTACTATCAAATATCTGAACATTATTTCCAGTTCTTGATGACCAATAACTTTTTTTAGAATTGTTGAAACATTTTTTGTGTATCAGCATGGGCGGAAATTCGTACTCTAGTACAAAAATGTGGACCTATATTGGCAATTTTCTGTGAATACGTTTTTTACTTACTAAGAACCCAGAATACCGTTGGATTGCTGCTTAAACTTTAAAAAATATCGAATTAGGTTGTGCAAGGTTGGGACAAATTGGATACTCTGTACACATATGTATTATTAGAAATGGGGAAAATACTAAATGGAGTGGAACAATATTTTATACCAGACCAGTAAGTAAAGTTCAAAAGTCGGACGGGGCCGACTATATGATACCCTTTATCACATTGGGTACATACAAGAGATGGTAATATGTACAATATCCTGTAGAGAGTACTGACATAATATCTTTGGAGGACCATTGAAATGGACTCGGAAGAAATTAACTACATACGTACATAGATATTTGAACTAAATTTAAACAACCCATGCACATACCAATCTGAAATTTATGAAAAATTGAAAGTCAATACTCCATTTACATAAAATCGGACGAAACTATATATGGTAGATATATCTAAATCTGAACCGTTTCCAACAAAACTTCGACTGACGTCAACCATCAGTAACGGTTCAATACAGATGTCAATACGCTATGCAAAATTTTGTCTCAATCGGGCAAACATTGACAGTATGATGCACCATTTACATAAAATCGGAAGAAACTATATATGGGTGCTACATCTAAATCTGAACCGATTCCAGCAGAACTTCGCATACATAAATTTGGACCTAATTCAGTACTCTGTGCAAAATTTTGTCTCAATCGGAGCAATATAGGCAGTATGGTGCTCCATTTACATCAAATCGGACGAAACTATATATGGGAACTATATCTAAATCAGAACCGATTCCAAAAAAAAACTTCTCATGTATCAATCTGCACCTAATTCAGTACTCTGTGCAAAATTTTGTTTCAATAGGACCAATATTGGGAGTTTTGTGCACCATTTACATAAAATCGGACAAAACTATATATGGGAGCTCTATTTAAATGTGAACCGATTTTTTTTTAGTATCGAAATTTTTATAGTCTCCACCCTACGTTGTGCATATGGGAACTCGACCGTTGTACATGGTTGGTGGCTTATGCTCTGAAAAATGAGCATCCAAACAACTAAAAGTTCATCCGGGCAGAATTTGTATACACTCGACAATAAGGTAGATATTGAAAAAGTTTAAAATCGATTGGTATATTTTTATATGACACTATTTCATGGTAAATTACAGCCAGACGAAACCGAAATATCAAGTTAAAGATAGTCAGGTTAGAAAATTGGCCTAGAACATACTGAAAACTATGCGAAATGCTTGAAGAAAGTCTTTGAAATCTTTAACATACTGAAAATTATTGGCCACTCTAAATAGGAAGATTTTTCACCCAATGGGAAGCTAAGATACCCTTATATATTGGCCAATATTTCTAAAATATTGCGAATTCTATTGTAATTTCAACAGACAAACGGATGTGACTAAATCGCCATAATATTTTATTCTTATCAACAATATAGTACATATGGGATTTCCGATGCAAATTTCGAGTTTTTTCTATAATATAGAGTAAGTGTACCAATCGTCGGCACTTTAACGATTTACGCATTTTAAATTTTCCGCCATTCTGGGTGCAGTTTTTCCATTATAATATATTAATGTATTTGTTTCGAAATTTTGTTTACTTCCGGATAGCATAAACAAATTTTGAATTATTTTTTATGATAATTGAGCAAATTGACAATTAGGTAAAATGATGCTTTTTGCCAATAGTCGGCACGAGTTTCCAATTGTTGGCATGTCTTTTAAAATCGGCATGCTCACTATTTTCTTCTTAAGAAACATGCAATGCCGCTAGTGGTAAAATAATAACATTAAGAAAAACCTTTATTACTGCCTAATAAATTAACTTACAGCACGTTTACATTTAACCGGATTTCGTTAACCCAGTGGGTTTCAATTGTCATTTCCTTTGCATATATGTCAAATAAATCCTCATAAAGTAGGTTAACCCGGTAAAAAGTTCTAATGTACAAGGAGTTTTAGATTGATGAAATTTTACACAGAGATAGTTGATAATATTATTGAAGATTATTCAAGGCAGTTTTCATATTTAGTCCCAATTTAGATTGGGCGAGTTTACTAGCGGCAAGTCTTTGTTTGCAGGAGAGAGGGGCAAAGGGAATAGAAATTGGAAAAAAATTGCCCGTACCGACAATTTTCAGGCAATTCGTTTTGTGTATTTTGTTTGTAGTGTCAGTAATTTGAAATACCAATCCAGAACATTGTCACAAAATGTAAAAAAAAGATATTTTTGAAACCGATTTGCCTTGTATAGACGCATGAGGCAATTTCAAAAGAGAACGATAAGAATCGCCGCAAGTAAACTCGCCTAATCTAAATCAGGACTTAGTGAAAAGATTTTTTAGTTATTTGAAGTTATATACAACTAATGCCGAGTACTGGTACATGCCAATGAAAAATTGCAGACATTTTACCAAAAATGCTTATAAAACCTTCTAAATACCGAAAATGAGTCAGGACCTTGGTAATATCTTGATTATCACAACTGACTAACATGAACCTAAATAAAAAATCCTTTAGAATGTTTTTTTTTAATGTTAGCTTGCAACGAAATACTACATAAACCATTGCATATACTGGAACACAGCATATTAAATGCTATCAATAGGTTTGAATGCCAAACAACGAAGAAGCATTGATATTGTTATCAATTTACTTGTATTGCCACTTTTTGGGGGTTTGTTGTTAAATGTGAATATTATGGAGGAAGCGGTTCTTAATCGAGATTTTCAAAGCATGTGTATTGTTAGCAGTAGTTATTAATTTTTAAGCTTGCATGATAAAATGGGAGTAACGGGACTTTGGAAATTGATTGAGCCATGTGGGAAGCCTGTCCCTGTTGAAACGTTGGAAGGAAAAATTCTGGCGGTTGGTAAGTTCTCTTGCTATTGTGAAATTAATGCTAAAAACTAAAACTATTTTTTTTATTCCTTTTCAGATGTCTCCATTTGGTTGCATCAAGTGGTTAAAGGTTTTCAGGATAATAAGGGAGCGGCTCTTAATAATGCTCATTTGTTGGGTCTATTTCACCGACTGTGTAAATTAATGTATTATCGTGTTAAGCCGGTATTTGTTTTCGATGGTTGTGTTCCACAACTAAAGCGTGATACTATTGTAAGTACACTATTTTAATCCTCCAGATTAGTGGAAGTCACTATTTTTGTTGTCATTCATAGGCTCGTCGACAACAACAACGCAGTAAACTAAGCAACGAAGCAGATCGTATTGAGAATTTATTACTTCAGTCCTTAGCGAAAGAAAAGGTTGTAATTCAGGCATTAGGTCCAAATGCAGAGCTACTTTTCACATCTCCTTCAAAGAAAAAGGTACAAAACAAGGATGATTCTATAGATGATATGTTTAAATTACCCGAACTTCCTGAAAGTTCTAAGAAGCGTGAAAATGCCGAAGATGACAGTTTAGAAGACTCCTTTACTGACTCTTATACCACAGAAGATTACACAAATACATCTGCCGAGGATAGTTCATTTGATGAATCAAATCCACGTATTTCTTACAATTCCAACCTCCTGGCTATAGATGTCCGAAGTAATAATTTTAAGCAGTTGCCAGCTGATGTTAGACATGACATTTTAGTAGACATCAAGGAAACTCGTAAGCAGTCCTCATGGGGTCGCTTACATGAACTACCATCTCGCAGTGATGACTTCAGTTCATTTCAAATGAAGCGTCTATTGAAACGCAGAGATGTACAGGTCTGTCTTGAAGAGGCGGAAAAAGAAATGGGAAATGAAAATGCCCTGTCATTCACAGAACTGACTAACATGTTCGCAGAAGAAGGGATTTTGGAATCTGAGACGATACAAAAAGCCACCAAACAGATATCGTCAAGTGAACACACTCGATTTCTGTTAGTTAGAGATTTAAAAAAGAAGACAAAACAGGAGGATATAAAAGAGGAAAAGGCTGACGGTAGTGGTGTCGACCAGAAATGTGAAACAAAACAAGAATCGATGGATGATGATAATTCACCGAGCACTTCTAAAGTTTGCAGTAAATCTGAATTATTAGAAAATACTAAAAAGTTAGGTAGTGAATATGATGCTGATTTGGAATTGGCAATTGCTCTTTCACTACAGGATAACGATGACAGAGTGTACGATGAAAAAGATTATGATTATGATTCCGACGAGGTAATAAAACTAAATAAAGACCAGCGTAAACAATTGCAAAATGCAGCAAAAGGTCCAGCACGTTCATATATGATTGAGTATGCTGGCATGAACAAAGAAGAAGTACAGGGTATATTGGAAAAAACTCAAGTAAATGAAAATGGCGATGAAACTCTGGACATTGATCGTCTGATAGATGGTGATAAAACTGAAGAAATGTAAGTTGTCTTTGATAAAATATTGTATCAATTGACTTATGAAGTTCGTGAGAATTGTTTTAACAATTATGTGTTAACAAATGTAAACTTTCGTTGAAAACTAATATCATTACAAAAAAGACTCAGTCAGCATTTAGTGACTGTTAGAAATAGTTCGAGATAATCGGTCTTTATTGTCCACAAAATTAATCTTTTTACACGAATGGTATTCAAGATAAACAGAATTAAAATCCGGGAATTCATTTGCTACCAATTACACAAGGTCATCCCTCAAATGAGCTTTTTTTTAAGTAGAAAATACTTCTCAATTTTTCTGTAATACAGTTTCAGTTTCTTAGGAATTTTAATGCTCTTTTTCGTTGTTAACTCTGAAAACGTATTAAATTCTTATCTTGTTTACCTCTTTAACATTTTTTCAGAAAAACTAAAAATGAGAACATCCCGAATGAAAGCCAAGAAATACAGCTGCGTGTCAGTGATGATTCAGATTCGACAGATTCCGATTTAGAGGAAGTCGAAGATCTGGAAAACAAGCCATCTCTTTCAATAACAGTTGACTTAACAAAAGGAATATCAAAAGAGAATGACATTTTTGCAGATGTTTTTAAAAATGATGAATGCGTGATTCCAGAGACACCCGAATGTCCAACAGTTTCTGTAAAGGAAGAAGAAGAACATGTTAAAAGTAAAAATCTCGATAGTTCATCGTTGGATACAAAACCAAGACCTATTAAACCTTTACCAAAATGTAGTTCTGATTTAGCAAGTGTTAATATTCCTGGCACAGATCTTATTAAAACATCTGTGATGCATGATGGTGGTGTCAGGGAAGATGATGATGAATGTATAATACCAGAGACTCCACCAGTTATTAAAAATGAAAACGATAGCATTGTAGAATCGAAGAAAAATCTCCCGCAGCCTAAACTATGTAAAAAAGAAGAAATTCTTTCAATTCTTAATAACTTGAAACAACAAGCCGAAGAAATTAAAAATATAAATTTAGATACAATTAAATTAAGCGATTCTGTTATTGAGTTATCTGATGATGAGCATATGCATATAAAACCAGAGGTAATTGAAATATGTGACAGTGATGATAATCAGAGGTCTTCAACACCTCCACCAGTAGATATTAAATCAGAACAAATCTCCAAGACTGGCAGTGCCAGTAAATCACCCAGGATGCATACACCATCAAAAAGTCATGCAATAACGGAATTTTTCAATGTTGATTATGTAGTTAAACGAACGCCCGATAAACCCATAACAAAGGAAGAGAAAGAAATAACACCTAAAGTCAAATCTCCTTTCTTTGTAAGAAAAACACCGAAATCTGGTAGCCGTAGTGCAAATAACTCACCATCGCCATCAAGTAAAAAAATGTCAAAAGCCAGTAAATCTTTATTTGAGCAAACCTCAGAGGACAATAGTATTGATGGCGTCAAACCCATAGAAAATACCATTGCTCGAAACGAGAACATTATCAAGGAAGCTGCCGAAGTATTAAAATCGAAGAAAACGACAGAAGAATTAAATGATATTGCTGCGAGCTTGGCAAGAGATAGACGTGAGCTCGAGAATGAACGAAATCGTCAAGATCGTATGAGTATGTCTATAACACAACGTATGAACTCCGATTGCCAGGAGCTGCTTAGACTCTTTGGTGTTCCGTACATTATTGCACCAATGGAAGCTGAAGCCCAATGTGCATTTCTTGACTTGGTCGAGTTAACTAATGGCACAATCACAGATGATAGTGATATATGGTTATTTGGTGGTCGTACTGTCTATAAGAATTTCTTTGATCAAAAGAAACATGTTTTGGAATTTCGTTCAGAGCAAATAGAGAAACATTTTAACTGTGATCGTCAAAAATTAATACAATTGGCATGCCTTGTTGGAAGTGATTATACAACAGGTATGTAAATAAAATATTATGATTATAATATCAGCATAAAGAATAAGATTCATAAAATTAGGAGTCGATTTAAAAATTTCTCGAGTTGGACCAAACATTGTAACATTAATTCTTATACATGCATAAATTAATTCTTATTAAATTTGTCATTCCCTTGACAACATCTCGAAATGTTTAAGACACATTTACCGACGTATGTGACTGTAATTCTGCATTTCGAACGATTACTTTTTACTGTGTAAAAAATTCTTCGCGGTCGCCATATATACGTACATGTTTTGAAAGAGTCTGCATATAAGAGTCCCGACCAACCATCGACCTTTTGTTGTGAGAATTAATATTTCGGCAGTACTTCAAATTACAAAAAATCCTTCGAATTCAGGGTTTCTTGTTTCCGATTTTTTTTTAATATTGTAATTCTTGCATACATATATTATGTTTATTTTAATCATCTTTAAAATGTAAAATTAAATATGTTATTTATTTTTTAGGAATACACGGTATTGGCGCTGTTACTGCTCTCGAAATTTTGGCTTCGTTCGCCTCAAAAGATAAATACGATAGCAGCTCAGACTCCAAATTATCGGCAGCTCAAAATATTTTAAACACTTTACAAAAATTTCGTTCTTGGTGGCAATCAGTGAAAACATCAGCAGCCCCACCGGGTAGTTCTACGAGAGCAGCTTTACAGAAAAAACTAAAAAACATTGACATTCACGAAGGTTTTCCAAATAGTGCTGTGGTCGAAGCGTATCTCTCGCCCAAAGTCGATGAAAATAAAGAACCATTGTCGTGGGGCTATCCAGATGTAGAGTCATTGCGTGAATTTGCTCGGAAAACATTTGGTTGGACTACAAACAAAACAAATGATATTCTAATGCCCGTAATGAAGAAACTCGATGAAAAGCGAACGCAACAATCCATTCGCAATTATTTCAATGTGAAGGCGTCACCTAGCGTAAGACAACTAAAGGTTAGCAAAAGAATACAAAATGCCATAAATAAAATGACTGGAGTAGACGATTCCGATGACGCTGCTGAAAAACCAACAAAACCAAAACGACCAAGACAATCCAATAAGCCTGCCACCAGACGGAAAACACCATCTGAAGAAATATCAAATATCACAGAAGCTAGTAATGATGTGAGCTTAACCGTGGAGCCGGGTAGTAGCACACAAATAGCCAAAGGACCCCTCAAAAAACCAACCAAACGTCCAAACATATCGTATTCAAAGGAAGTTATACCTCAACGGGAAAAGACACTAGAACAATTAGAGGAAAAGAAAAGAATAGCTGCAGAAATATTGAAAAAATCTGCCAAAGATGTTAAAAAGAAACGCAAAGCATGATTATAACCCAATTGAGTAATTATTTAGAGTTTATATGTATGTATGCTTTTTTTACAAAATAAATATTTATTGTACTTCAAGTGCGTAAAGAAAATTATCTCGACAACCGATGTAAATACACTTGTTATCACATATGCATGGTGTGGAAAATACTTCTCCTTTAATGTCATAGCTTCCTTTTAGCTGAGATGTATGTATATCTATCAGCACCATCGAACCCTTAGTTGAACATGCAACTATTGTATCGTTAAATGCAACAATTGGTGTGGAATATATCGCCGAATTAAGGGTAAATTTCCATAACAAAGATAACTGCATTTTGGTAGGATCGTAATTTAAGCAGTAAAGGTGTTTGTCATGACAGCCAAAAAATATTTGCCAGTGTTGATTTTTATTATCTCGGTGTAGGGTTAGGCTTGAAAAAATATTACCATCTGCTCGAAAGGTTGAAATCTGAAATGAAAATAAATTGTTTTATGCTGAAATCTCATATTATTGCTAAAAGAATTGTTCGATTACCTCATTACCATTGTCTCTGTTACAGACCACAACCTTTCCCTTAACCTCGGCTAATATTAGTTCGTTGTTTGTAGTCTCCAGACGAGCAGGAGATGAAAATATAGGTGACTCCAATTGTTTTATCCATTTGGGAGTTCCACTAGAAATGTCTACTAAAGCATAGAAACCATCTAAACTGCAAAACAAAGCCGCGTCCTCGGATACTATTAGCGGTGATGAAAATATACCTTTGTTTCCAAGTTTAAATTGCCAAACAGAGGATAGAGTCTGGTGATTATTGGTGATTATATTTCATTATTTTGTGTTGTTGTTGTTGTTTTATACATTCAATTACCTTTAATTTAAAAGCATGTATATTGTAATCTTCGGCATACGAAGCAATAATTAAAAGATCGTTGATTACAATTGGTTTGGCTTTTATCATACCATTTACATTAATTATCCAAGATATTTTACCGTTTCTATAATTAAATCCATATAAAGTGCCGTCATAGCAACCCACTACTGCCAGATTCTGGGAGATATGCACAACAGGACATTCAATTCTATCAGATAATTGTAGTCGGGAAATTTCCTCACCCGTTGTTGTGTTTAAGGTATGTACCAGATGAGAATGAGAGCCAACGGATACTACATTTTCATGATTTGTAGATGGTGAGGCATCAACACATTTCTTTAAATCTGCCCGCCATAATAAATTTATATTTAACATATTATTTTTAGCAGAACTCTGATTTCCTATAGCAAATGATTTCTCCATTGAAACGATTGCTGTGTCATTATTCTTTAAAAAATCAAGAATGTCTTGTATTGTTGCTACAGAAGAAAGTAACATTTCCAATAACTGGCGTTGCGATTCTGAACGTTTCATTATCTCTCCTATACGTAAAGATAAGTTTAAAGCGTGAAATGAAGTTCCTCCAGCAGCAGTAAAGCTTAAATCCAAACAACGTTTAAGGCGCTTAACGTTTGTTTCATTATTTTTGGTGAGATTGCAATTTAAACTTTTAATACCTAATACATTATCCAAGAATGTTTGAAATATTGTCAAAGGTGTTTCCGAAGATGTTTGTTTAACATTTAAAATATCTTGCAGTAATTGTTGGCGATCTAATTTCCCATTTTTATTCAATGGAATTTCGCTAATGTAACATATTTTATCCGGTTGTTCGTAATCATGCAAGTTGTCTTTGAGCAGGCTTTGTAGATTTTGTTGACCGTGTTCTGTTTCTTGCAGAGGTATATTAAAGCAAGCATATAATGTTTTACTTGTATCACACCATAAACATATCGCTTTAGTGTTGAAAATAGTTTGTAATTTGTTTTCAATTGAATCTGAAAATGAGAAAAAAATTTAGAACGAAATAAATGTAATAACCAGTTTTACGGGGCCGACCAACGATACCCCACACAACTACCATGAACTCTAACAGTCTGCACAATATTTCGTGATATTTGCTCCCAATAGCCCGATTAGAGGTCAGCAGCACATTTTCCTTACACTGACATTTCCGAATATTACTATTCATATTCAGTACAGCCCTTCTAATTAAGTGTCTAGATTGCCTTCACCGTGGGTTGTGTTGTGATGTTCGGCATATTACTGACATCGACTCACACAAAAAATTATAATCTGATCATCACTGATCATTGTCCTTGGCCATAACCGGAACCTCATGGAAAATTTAAAAGCGATCAGCGCTATATTTCCGCCCTCTAGTGTGGTAATAGGTTACTAAATAATATATGAATACGTAAGCACCTGTAAATATTTAAGTATAACTCCCACATCCGTGTACATACGACAATATATTTGATATCAATTTAAAGGTCAACCACTCCACAAAAGTCCGGGTCCATTTGACCCGCTAAATATGGATCGATCTTTATGAAAACAGGCATGCTTATTCTTTGGCCTGATCCCCTTCTCCATGTAAAAATGTTTCGGCCATAATTGCGAACTCTGGAGCGATCAGAAAAACCGACAAAAATTAAGTATTTGGTCCACTTCATCCCCTTAATATTAACCGATCTTTATCAAACACAATAGGGATCTTCATTGACCAGAACCCATTCTACATGCAAAATTTCGTGAAGATTGGTCCATAACTGTGGTCTGTATCGTGTTTACAAATAATAATGGACAATATTGAGGGATGAATTTGTCCGTCTATTTCCCATTGTCATTTACCGCTTTATCGAGCGGTAAAATCATTGGATTTTTGGAAACTAGGTCAATTTAAATTTCCAAAATGTACATTAGGATATATTATTCTTACCTAGACATACGCGTTTTCCAAAACGTTTTATACAGTTATTTATTCGGCCAATATAATACAAATTGCCATCAATATCACGTTCTACCAAGTCTCCAGTGCGTCGAAAAATAATTTCTTTATTTTCGAGGCTGTTAATATCCTTATCTAACTGTGGTATATAGCAACGTCGTACAGAACTACCAATAAGCAGCTCACCTCTACCAGGCTTTCCAAATGGCAAAATACTCCCATTGTCAATATTATTTATTTGTAGTTGTGTTACATCATCTAATGGTTTTCCCAAGGCAATGGTATGTTTTCCATTGTCATGCAGATGATGAATATATTCATTAACAGTAGCCCAACAAGAATATTCAGTTATACCATAAATATTGAAAATTCGGACTGAATATTTTCTTAATGTTTCGACTTGTAGCCACATTTGCATTTCCTGCATTGAAGGAAATTCTTCACCGCCTAAAAGTAAACATCTGAAAAAATAATTTTAAATACAATTTTTAAAATAAAGAGCATAAAAACCTACCTTACAGATGTTTTAGCATTTAAAATTTGACGAATATTATGCAGTCCAAACGATCGAAATATCGATGGTGTTGTCTGAATTATTGTGACTTTCTGCAATAGTTCCTCACTTAGATTTATGCGTAATGATCGATCAACTATTATCAGCGAGGCCGCAGTTTCCAGTGCCATAAAAAACTCAACTACAAATGGATCAAATGTAGGAGGAGAACCAAGTAAAATTTTATCGCGTTCTGTTACTTCTAGAATAGAGCTACAAATTTATAAGGTTGACAATAAATAGTTATAGATTACAATTTTACTTACCATAGTGATTTTATGTTCGGGTATATGCATGTAAAGGGGACGTGTACGAATTTTGGTGTTCCCGTGCTACCGGATGTGTTAATTGTATAACATATATCATCATGCCCACCGATTTTGATTGATGATGAAGTCTTTATTGTTCCCAAATAATATGTTTTATCGAAAATCTTAAAACTTCCGTTGAACTTGATAGACATTTCGTCAAAAAAGTTAACATTATCTGAGACAACATATTCAACGCCACTTGACTTAAGTTGTGCACTAGCATTGTTATTCGATTTGAGATCGTTGCAGAAGAAACTACAGCCATGATTCAAAATACTAAAAAATATGGATGTTAAACTAATTAGAAATTATTAACATAAACAAAAAATCTCACCTCAGTATTAGGATACAACTTTCCACGCTGTGTTCAACCATGTCAATCGCAATACCTACTGCTCTTTCAATTTCAAATTCTTGGAAATAATTTAGACATTGTTGAATTTCTTCAATAATTGTTGTATAGTTCAACTCTTGGGCAAATAAATTCCCACTAAATTGTTTTAAATGTTTTAATGTATAGCAGGGATTCATTATTAGTTTAACCGTTGATGTTTCAGAAATAATAAATTAATAGTCTTTGGTATTAAATTATCAAATCACCAGCATACACACTGTCCAAACTTTTCTTGACCCAATTTTATCTCAGTATGTGCTGGAAAAAATTAAGATATAAGTATCGATATTATTTTTATTGTATGTATATTAAAGGGAATGTGTTAACGAGATTTAAAATATTACTTGATGCTATCTTTTTACTTTTGTATTACTTTTTGGTTTGAGTATCTCTCTTAAATGATATAAGTTACAGAGTAAATATGAATGGAAATGTACGCAGACAAACCTAATAAACGATCTAAGCATAATTTTGCTACAAATACATTATTAGATTAAGACCATATTTTCTGTATATTTTCTCGGTGAGAACAATTACCCCAAAGGATTAAAATGTTGTTATTTTTCACACAAAATCTGTGTTCATTGGACCAGCTAAATATTAATAGATCATTATCAACAGCCATTTTATTTTAATTAGTTGACTAGATCCCCTTCCCTGTATTAAACATATGAAATTCGGTGGCCTCTAAAGCGACCAGAAAACTTAAAATAATGTTTCGGTCAATTTCTTCACCTAAATAGCATATGATCATCACCGAAAATTATAGAAGTCGTCCCTGTCCATAAACGGAACTTCGTATAAAATTTCAAAACGCCCAGCGCAATTAAACAAGATCCCAATAGGGATATTATACGTAAATATTTACGTATAACTCATCTATACGAGTACATACAACCATATAATTGGTATTGATTTAATTTGTAGTTCAACCACTCCTCTTAGATATTCTGTCATCTTCTCCGGTTTACAGAAGTAAAAATATATGCCACAGAATGGAATTTTTCACACAAAAGTTTGGGTCCTTTGACCCGCTAAATTGTGGACTCTAGAGCGGTCAGAAAAAAATATGTTTTTGGTTCAACGCCTAAATCATTACCAAAAACCATAGGGGTCTTCTTTGGCCCTAACCGAACCTACATACTAAATTTCGTGGATTGGTCCATAACTGTTGCAACATCGTGATAACAAATTGTAGTGGACAGACGGAAGGACACACATGTCTGGATCGACTCAGTTACGATATGACGATCAGTATACTAAAAAATGGGGTCTAGGGCCAATATTTCGCGGCGTTACAAACTCTTGGGAGCAACACAAAGCTATAATACCCTGACAACATTGTTGTATAGGGTATAAAAATCTAGAAGCAACAGCAAGCAATGCCATTTTAATTTTTATTATAAAATTATTTATTATTTTAATTCGATAAATATTCAAAATTTTGTGAATTCATTAAAAGAACTGGGCTTAAATTGTTTTGCTGAAGCCGTAATTACTATATTACTGATAATTATTTTGAACGTGGAGATTTTGAGACTCAGTAAGTGGATGAGGAAGTGCAAAATACGATTTGGAAAGCATGTAAGTTTCTATTTCTAATTAACATTTAACCGATTTGGAGATGTCACGAGAACGCTTTGAAATTTTCATCTAGCAATTTGTTTACTTGCTGAATGCGATATTATTATACCATTGATGATAGATGGAACTACATGTTCTGTTAATGTGTATTTTATAATTTTAATGCCGGAAATAGGTTTGTTGGTAATCGGGGTATATCAAAACAAACGTTCTACTACTTTAAATCTCACCCTTTCAACAAAATCTATATTGAAGCAGATGCAATAACTTCAAATCATCGCCTCGTCCTTCTATAAATGTATTCTATGAACTAGATGCACGTTTGGAAACCCAAATTTAGGCTAATATACATAGATATCTATTGGCATCGGTATACAGTTAGAAACACATTTGGTGTAACATGTCCAGTTATTTGATTTCCATCCGCTATAGGAACTGCATCAACTGTCCTTGATTTCCATCAACTTACACTTGCAGCTCGAGGCCATTAAATGAGCTTTGACTATTTATAAAAATATTTGCCCCATAGACGATTAAAATCGAATTACTATTGAATTGGAAGATTTACTACACCGCTTAAAAGATACAAACAAAATGCCAAATAACAATAAACAAAAGTTTGGTTGTTTTGTTTAGAAAGATGAAAAAAAGGAAATCAGCTGATACAAACAAGTACATGCATCGATGAGCAACTTATCGGCATTCATTTATCGATAACAATTGTCATAAACTTTACGTCAGAATAACAGTACCACATCACTCAGCATATGCCTTCTTTTCACTTCTCAAATCAAAAAGACTTAGCGTAATTCGGCACAACTTGAAATGACACTCACAAACAGGCATATGAAGCAAAACAAACTATGCTTCTTTGCCAACGACCATACCACGCTGAGTACATCGGTTCTCGTCCGATCACCGAAATTAAGCAGCGTCGGGCGCGGTTAGTACTTAGATGGGGGACCGCTTGGGCCAATACATTTGTTTAGATTTTACTTCAAAAATGAAGAAAATACAAGCATTTTCACCTTTATTTTGGCAAAAAATTATACTCCAAAAACGTATGAAAATGCTATTTATTTTCATTTAATTTGAAAAATAAATGAAAAATATGTATTTTCTAATGACATTTTACGCAAGTTAATGAAAAATAGTTAAAAAATATTTTTTACATGTTTCCTTTAATTATAAAAGGAATATTCTTGCTTAATCGAAACTAACAAACGATTGCTTGCTTATTGGTTTGTGTGTGTGTTCACTATACAAACGACTTTGTTTTAAATAGCACTCACAAACAGGCATATGAAGCAAAACAAACTATGCTTCTTTGGGAACACCGCGTGTTGTTGGCATCGTCCAACTTTTTTATTATTTTTTATATTAAAAAATACGTATGAAAATGCTATTTATTTTCATTTAATTTGAAAAATAAATGAAAAATATGTATTTTCTAATGACATTTTACGCAAGTTAATGAAAAATAGTTAAAAAATATTTTTTACATGTTTCCTTTAATTATAAAAGGAATATTCTTGCTTAATCGAAACTAACAAACGATTGCTTGCTTATTGGTTTGTGTGTGTGTTCACTATACAAACGACTTTGTTTTAAATAGCACTCACAAACAGGCATATGAAGCAAAACAAACTATGCTTCTTTGCCAACGACCATACCACGCTGAGTACATCGGTTCTCGTCCGATCACCGAAATTAAGCAGCGTCGGGCGCGGTTAGTACTTAGATGGGGGACCGCTTGGGAACACCGCGTGTTGTTGGCATCGTCCAACTTTTTTATTATTTTTTATATTAAAAAATATTTTTTTAAGGTTGTCCAATACATTTGTTTAGATTTTACTTCAAAAATGAAGAAAATACAAGCATTTTCACCTTTATTTTGGCAAAAAATTATACTCCAAAAACGTATGAAAATGCTATTTATTTTCATTTAATTTGAAAAATAAATGAAAAATATGTATTTTCTAATGACATTTTACGCAAGTTAATGAAAAATAGTTAAAAAATATTTTTTACATGTTTCCTTTAATTATAAAAGGAATATTCTTGCTTAATCGAAACTAACAAACGATTGCTTGCTTATTGGTTTGTGTGTGTGTTCACTATACAAACGACTTTGTTTTAAATAGCACTCACAAACAGGCATATGAAGCAAAACAAACTATGCTTCTTTGCCAACGACCATACCACGCTGAGTACATCGGTTCTCGTCCGATCACCGAAATTAAGCAGCGTCGGGCGCGGTTAGTACTTAGATGGGGGACCGCTTGGGAACACCGCGTGTTGTTGGCATCGTCCAACTTTTTTATTATTTTTTATATTAAAAAATATTTTTTTAAGGTTGTCCAATACATTTGTTTAGATTTTACTTCAAAAATGAAGAAAATACAAGCATTTTCACCTTTATTTTGGCAAAAAATTATACTCCAAAAACGTATGAAAATGCTATTTATTTTCATTTAATTTGAAAAATAAATGAAAAATATGTATTTTCTAATGACATTTTACGCAAGTTAATGAAAAATAGTTAAAAAATATTTTTTACATGTTTCCTTTAATTATAAAAGGAATATTCTTGCTTAATCGAAACTAACAAACGATTGCTTGCTTATTGGTTTGTGTGTGTGTTCACTATACAAACGACTTTGTTTTAAATAGCACTCACAAACAGGCATATGAAGCAAAACAAACTATGCTTCTTTGCCAACGACCATACCACGCTGAGTACATCGGTTCTCGTCCGATCACCGAAATTAAGCAGCGTCGGGCGCGGTTAGTACTTAGATGGGGGACCGCTTGGGAACACCGCGTGTTGTTGGCATCGTCCAACTTTTTTATTATTTTTTATATTAAAAAATATTTTTTTAAGGTTGTCCAATACATTTGTTTAGATTTTACTTCAAAAATGAAGAAAATACAAGCATTTTCACCTTTATTTTGGCAAAAAATTATACTCCAAAAACGTATGAAAATGCTATTTATTTTCATTTAATTTGAAAAATAAATGAAAAATATGTATTTTCTAATGACATTTTACGCAAGTTAATGAAAAATAGTTAAAAAATATTTTTTACATGTTTCCTTTAATTATAAAAGGAATATTCTTGCTTAATCGAAACTAACAAACGATTGCTTGCTTATTGGTTTGTGTGTGTGTTCACTATACAAACGACTTTGTTTTAAATAGCACTCACAAACAGGCATATGAAGCAAAACAAACTATGCTTCTTTGCCAACGACCATACCACGCTGAGTACATCGGTTCTCGTCCGATCACCGAAATTAAGCAGCGTCGGGCGCGGTTAGTACTTAGATGGGGGACCGCTTGGGAACACCGCGTGTTGTTGGCATCGTCCAACTTTTTTATTATTTTTTATATTAAAAAATATTTTTTTAAGGTTGTCCAATACATTTGTTTAGATTTTACTTCAAAAATGAAGAAAATACAAGCATTTTCACCTTTATTTTGGCAAAAAATTATACTCCAAAAACGTATGAAAATGCTATTTATTTTCATTTAATTTGAAAAATAAATGAA